TGATTTTAAAATCATGGCTTGCGCCATCAGCAACTTTCAGTTGCACGATAAGGAGATGCCTTTTTCTTAATTTATGCACCTTATCCCAGTACAATATCACATTTGTACTATTTTTTCACAATAATAATTGTGTTTTATTGTGTATGTCAGAGGTACCCAAGGATGAGATTCAAGACCAAGAGCTGTTGGGATTCCTGACCTGTTTCTCAGCCCTTTACCTCCTGCTTGAGGTGAGGGAGTCACATCTGGTGGTGTTGTCCTTTCTTTACTCCCTATTTCTCACCAAGAACTCCTCAAAATGTCAGCCATATAAAAGCAAATAACCTAACCTAATAGCAGACCATTCTGGTAGATTATACTTTCATTTGCATATCTATAGTTTTTTTTTTTTTTTTTGCTTATCCCTAGTACACGTGGTACCAAGCAGTCGCCCTACTACTACCCACCATGATTACCATGGCCTGTATCACATGTACTAGGGATAAGCAAAAAAAAAAGAAAAAACACATGGTACAGGCCATGATAATCATGGTGGGTAGAAGTAGGCGACTGCTTTTACTGTAAGTGCACTACATATCTACACATGTGAAAAGCAGTATATCCATAGCAGTGTATATATGTTATATAAAAATTTATATTATAAATTTTAATTTCTAAAACAAAACTCTGTGAAATTGGCCGCCAGATATAGCATGCTTCGGACATGCTTCCTCTGGCTGGATCAAATTTTTTTGTAGATATGTAAATATGTAATCTTTTATTTCTTCACACCTTATAAGTCAGGTGGTATTTGCCTCAAATTATTTTTTTATATAACTACCTCCCTGTAAAGAACACCTAATTTCAGAGCCAAAGTGTCCTTTAGGGAGAAGTGTCCTCATACCGGAGAGTTGTTAAATAATAAAAATGGTAATTTTGCAAATGAAAACTGTCTTTTATAGAGAGGTGTCCTCCAGCGCGAATTTCCTCTCATGGAGGTTCTACTGTATTTCATAAGCTCTTAAAAACAAATAGTAATCTAAAGTATTTTTTTTGTTCTTTCCACGACTGCAAACCATTGACATAATGTTCTTGTACCAAAAACACAAGCAAATAATAATTTCTCTCTTTATCTCAAAATTTTATCCTATATATATATACAGTTAAACCTGTCTATAGCACCCCCTCTTGGGACTTACCAAAATAGGGTGCTATAGACAGGTCACTTTTAATGTAAATTGCATCGTACTATGTATTTAAAATCAGGCGCTATAGAGAGGAAGGCGCTATTTAGATGGGATACTATAGACAGGTTTAACTGTATATGCAAATGTGTGCCGGCAGAGTGAGCAGAATCTCCTGAAGGACATCATCCCCAATGAGCAGCAGCACCGAGTCTTTGAGAAGATCTCAGAGCCTGTGGTCCAGGCACTCTGCTCTGAGGGAGAGGTAGGTCAGAGCTGTTAGCATCCTTCAAGTTCAGTGACTCTATGTTGTTGTTTCTTATCCCCTTGTGTAAAGATTACACAAATTCCATGAGTTCATGCTCTTTGAACTGTTTGATGATAAGCAACGGCCTCTCTCAAAGATACTGTTTAGCACATCTAATACAAGCCAAAATGTGTTATGGAGGTGCCAAGCTTCATTTTGGGCAAGTGGGGTAGATTTTGTTATTATTTTCTCAATGGCTTGAGATGGCTTGTTTTAAAATCTTGTTATTGTTGTTTGATGCTGTCTATTTCTGATGTTCAGAGCTTCTCCTGGGTTCACTCCACTATACCAGCTATGCTTAAGTGGGATCCTCCAGTTCTAGTTTATTTTTGTTTTGACAATGTACTCTATTTATTTAAAAGTAAGATGGACAAATATTCTCCATTTAATTGGAGAACTTTGGGAAAAATTCTTAAAATTTCGATGACTGAGTTAAAGTTGGATGGAAATTTTTTCCAGATCTTGTGGGTTACTTGAAATCAAAGCCCTCCCCCCATCAAAAATCTCAAGCTCTACAGTCTTGATACTTTAATATGATTTAAGTGACAATTAAAACTTTCTTTATTGACTTCTTAGTCAATAATTACAGAATAAAAATTACATCAATAAAATAATTATTTACAGTCAGCCAGGTAGTCACTGCGACAGTGACTTCACCCAGCCCAACCTGGACAAAGTACCGGCAGATTCTTGACTTTGCTGATGCAAGGATGGCCAGTTTGTTGTCCTCAAGGCTGGCCCCAAAGATTCAAGCCTATAGGTCAGGCGGTCTCCCGATGATGTTGATTGGTGGTGACGGTGGTGGTGTCTTGTCCAATTTTGCTGTTCCATGGAATGAGGCGATGCCATTGCCCCCGTTAGTCAGCCACATTTCAGAGTTCCCTGTTCACGGTTACCGTAGCGGCTCATGACACCGTACTACAGGGCAGTCCCTTACTTGTGCTGCTTCTCCCGCCCGCCACGTATAGGAGGACTTCTGGGCAAGGATGCTGTTGATTAAAGTGGAGATAACAACCCTCTACCTTTAATCCATCCATATATAAAACTTTAAAGATGTCTGATAATTATGTTTACTTCTGGCCCCATTCTACTAATCTTTAAAAATAATTGCTTGGATATAAACCCCGCTAAAACAAACCTTGGATATAAGCAAACTTTCCCTTATAATTAATCTGAAATAATCCTCATTTTTATTTTATAATACAGTAAACTATGGCTATAACGAACCATAAAATGAGTCGGTGGACGAGTGGGTAACACCCTCGATTCCCGACAGTCATGAACTGGGATTGAATCCCACGTTAACATTTTGTTTAATATGTGAATAACCTTCACTTATTATTCATTGTTTCAATTATCATAAACTAGGTTGTTCTTTTTGAACTGTACCTAATAAAGTGATTTTGAATAATAAATCTTGCCAGTCGAAGGGCTTTTGCCCGAAAGCTCGCTCTTATGCACCAATAAAGATACTCGTCTTCCTTCGCCTTGTTATTATCGTAAAAGTGATTTTGGAACAAGGATAACGAACCATGGCTATAGTGAACCACAGGTTCAATCCTATTGGGGTTTGTTATAGAGGGGTTTTACTGTAAACTGTATCTACCAAAAAAAATGCACCCTCACTCTTTAAAAATGTATAAAGGCCCTAAACACACATGGTAATAAGACAAAATCCAAATAAGTAAATAGTGTGTGATGTTTCAGTAACAATACTATTACCGAAACCTCACACATTATTTATTTATTTTGATTTGTTCTTATTACCTTGTGTTTATAATCTACTATAATCCAAATTGTGTCTTTATCGTGCAAAGGCCCTCATATTAAAGACATTCTGTGTTGTGTTTCAGTCATTTGCCAGCAGGGTGCGCCGCTGTGCATCCCGCAGTGATTTCTCCACAGTCCTGTGTCTGTTCCCCATCCTGAAACATCTACAGACCATCAAGCCAGACTTTGACCAGCTCTTCAGGGTCAGTTAACAAACTTCTTACACCTATCACCTTCCCTTTTTTTTGTATATTTTCACATAGAAAATTAGGAAAGACAAACTTCAGGATGACACATTCTCATTTGGCCAACACAGAGGCGGCATAACAATATTTAATATCTAAAGAGTGATATCACTGTTTGCAAAAATCAAAACTCCACCTTTGCCAGTCCCAAGCCCGAATGAAAAAGGAGAAGGGGGAGCAGTAACAAGCTCGGTAAAAAACTTGGGCTCAGCTGGCCCGGCTGATAGTACCCTGTAAGGGCTCCTGATCCAGGGATACAGGATGAGCAGCGTTTGTACTCCATGTTAGGAGCAGCTGCACATGGCGTCTGTTCCTCATGTCAGAGGCGGCCATTTCTTTTGGAGCTAAGTCGGCCTGCCACTGAGTAGTGCTCCCAGTCTTAATGACAAAGGCAGATGCATTCTACTTCACCCAGTCATGATGGTTGTCAAAAGTCTCAAGCTTTACAAGCTTGATACCCTAATATGATTGAGTGGAGATAAGAAGAAAGAAGAAGACAAGAATCAATATCACCAAATAGGGAATACACTTCAATGTATTTCAGTCAAGAAACATTATTTTTTAACATTTTTGTTAAAATGTGATAAGGTACAATTTATATGATAGATTAGAAAACATAAGGTAATAAGACTAAATACAAATAAATAAATGTTTGACGTTTTGGTAACAGCGTTGTTACTGAAATGTCACAGATTGTTTATTTGTATTTGCTGTTGTTTACTTAATATTTTTGGATTTAAAAAAAACCATAAAAGCTAAGAATTGTATATATAGTTTGTGTAAGAATCTTATATAAAAATATTTGAAAAGCCTTTCACAATATGTGAAAAAATAGTACAAATGTGTGTGATATTGTACTGGGATAAGGTGCATAAATTAAGAAAAAGGCATCTCCTTATCGTGCAACTGAAAGTTTCTGATGGCTTGCGCCATTTATCGGAATAAATATCAACTATTCTCGTTGATTTTTAATTATTCCAGAATTGGCCAAATACCCATTCTTGATTAATGGTTAGCTTTTCTTGATTAATCAAGAATGATGTATATTGGCCAATTCTGGAATAATTAAAAATCAACGAGAATAGTTGATATTTATTCCGATAGATGGCGCAAGCCATCAGAAACTTTCAGTTGCACGATAAGGAGATGCCTTTTTCATAACTTTCACAATATGTTTCTTTTTTTACAAAAAACACCACGAGCTTTTGAGCTCTTGCTCTTTAAAGCGATGTTTTTGTAAACATATTGTGAAAGGTTTTTTTGAATATTTTTATAAAAGTAAAAAGCAAATTTCTTATATCTGAAAAGAATAATTAATAATGTGCTGTGTGTGCCAGGGTTATGGCAACAATGTGAAGAGCCGGATCCACAGTTTCATTATCACCCTCCAGACCACGGTAAGTCTCTACATCTTTTCTATTCTTCCCTATAATGTCAGTGGCCTTGACATTGGGCAGTTTCATAGGATGGTAGATTTTACCATGGCTAAACTTATATCCATCGTTGATTCAGAGAATCTAAGTCATCTAGTGGACATGCCATCTGCCCAGTAAGCAGAACACTGTGGGTTCGATTCCCATCCTTGGATACTTTATTTTTCTATTTATCATTACTCTTCACAATTCATCCTTTCATACTTTATCCCTAAGGTTAGAAATAATCGTTATTTCTCCTTAAAATAAATTACTATTTTTGGTTCAAAAGAAACATTTGCGGTATAATTGTCAAACTTCGTTCGACAATCATAAACCGCATTATATTGTATTATAGAATCTGTTGTTGTTTCTTATCACCTTGTACCAAAATTACACAAATTCAATGAGTTCATGCTCCTCGAGCTTGGAATGGGGTGTAGGGATTCAGCTTTCGTTGATCATGGCACCATGATCCAAGCACACTTTGGTGAAAGTCTGACTTTGCCGGTAGTTTGAGGCCGTTCCTAACATGGAAGCCTTTGCTGCAGACTCTAACATGAGTACAGACAGCTCCTCTGTATCCCTGGAGAGGGACCTTTGTTGAGGTCTATCAACCAAGTCAGTTGAACTCATAGTTTTTAAAGAGATTTTTCTCATCTTTAAACAATGCTGCTGTTGGTCTGCAACTGCTTATTCATCAGAGTTATTCTGCTTATTTTGCAGCTGGCCTGCAGAAGGTTGTTCCTCTATCTGCCACCTGTAGCAGTCAGCTCTGCCAAGGGTCAGAGAATCTGAAAGCACCTATTGTCCCACTTAGTTTCAGATGAGGTTGCTCCTAACATGGAGAACAGACGCTTTTGCTGACGAACCCATCATGGATTCAGATGCAGCTGTTGATTAATAGTGTTTATTTTTATTGGCGGCAATTATTATTTAATTATTTTGAACCACGTCATTGGGTGTTTGTAGCTTTTTTTTTTTATAGTTGAAGCTCCATCAATAGGCTAGTCTGTTGTTGTTGTTTTTTATCCCTTTGTACAAAGATTCCATGAGTTAATGCACCCTAGCATAGGTTAGTCACACTCTGGCTCCCTTGGCAGAGCTGACTGCTATAGGGCGCGTCCCCAGGTGGTGGATAGGGGAACGACCTTCAGATATGAAGGCCAGCTGCGAAACAAGCAGAATAACTCTGACGAATAAGCAGTCGCGGACCAACAGCAGCATTGTTAGAAGAGGAGTAGACCTCTTTAAAAATCCTGACTTCAACTGACCCAGTTGATAGACCTCAGCAAGGGTCCCACTCCAGGGATACGGAGGAGCTGCGTCTGTACTCATGTTAGAGTCAGCAGCAAAGGCTTCCATGTTAGGAACGGCCTCAAACTACAGGCAAAGTCAGACTTTCACCAAAGTGTGCCTGGATCATGGTGCCATGATCAACGAAAGCTGCACCCCTACACCCCATTCCATGAGATCAGCTCGAGGAACATGAACTCGTGGAATTCGTGTAATCTTTACACAAGGGGATAAGAAACAACAACAACAACAACACCCTGGCTGTTGATCTCTGTGGGACTGGTTATTCATACCACCCCCATTTTATGGTTGTTCCCCCAATCTGCTACTTGGAGACTTGTCTGGTAGGATTCAGGATCTCTCTAAGGGAAGACACATACACCACTACTACGTCTATGTATAACATTGACATCCAACACAAAGACTCCTATATAACTCTTTTTGTAAACACAAGGTAATAAGACCAAATCCAAATAAATAAATAGTGTGTGACGTTTCGGTAACAGCATTGTTACCAAAACATCACACACTATTTATTTATTTGAATTTGGTCTTATTACCTTGTGTTTATAATCCAAATTGGGCCTTATCAACTCTTTTTGTAAACACCTATTCTAAAATTTCTACCAAAATCAAAGCTAATAATTCTCTGTTATTTTTGTATATGATGTTTTATCTAAATCTATTGTATTTCATCGTCTTGTAAATATAAATTTTTGTTGGCAAAATTGGAGATAATCTCTCATTTCTTCTAACTTGATATTTTAATCATTGTTATAACAAAGGAGTTATGACAACATAAGATCTTTATAACTCTGCCTTTGCCGGTCCCAAGCCCGGATGAAAAAGGAGGAGGGGGAGCAGTAACAAGCTCACTAAAAAACCTGAGCTCAGCTGATAGTACCCTGTAAGGGCTCCTAATCCAGAGATACAGGATGAGCAGCGTTTGTACTCCATGTTAGGAGCGGCTGCAAATGGCGTCTGTTCCTCATGTCAGAGGTGGCCATTTCTTTTAGAGCTAAGTCGGCCTGCCAGTGAGTAGTGCTCCCAGTCTTAATGACAAAGGCAGACGCATTCTACTTCACCCAGTCATGATGGTTCAAGTCTCAAGCTCTACAAGCTTGATACCCTAATATGATTGAATGGAGATAAGGAAGAAGAAGAAGAGATCTTTATTATTTGTACAATTTGAATTATATAGATTACAGAACACACAAGGTAATAAGACCAAATCCAAATAAATAGTGTGTGACATTCCAGTAACAGCATTGTTACCATCATCAGACAAAATTGGTACTGAATGAGATGATTTGATAAGTTTCAGCACTTTTGTCTGATAATGGTAACAATGCTGTTACAGGAAATGTCACATACTATTTATTTATTTGGTCTTATTGTCTTTCATATCTTTATTATTTGTTGTTTTCCGCCCCACCACCATCTTTTAATTTGCATATGCTTGTCTTCAGATCAACAAGTCTCTGGAGGAGTTTGTGGAGAGCATCCGCAACTACCCGGACACCAAGTTGCCGCGAGATGGCACAGTCCACGAGGTGACCAGCAATGTCATGGTGCTCCTTGAGCAGCTGCATGAGTACATGGACCTCCTGCCTGGGACTCTGTCAGTCAATGACCAGAACCTGCTGCTCCACTCCACGGACCCCAGCCGCATGGTGCTGGCCCAGTACATCAGTGAGTGCTTACCTCTTTCACTGTCGTCACCTTTGTGAGAAACATTCTTTTTATTTAAAGAAATTTATTGGTTCTCTTCTCTACTCTTCCCCGGCAGACATCATCAAAAGTCTCAAGCTTTACAAGCTTGATACCTTAGTGTGATTGAGTGGAGATAAGAAAGAAGAAGATTGGTTCTCTTCAATGTGGTACATTCTTCCTCAAGAATCATTATGGGAATGGTGTTTTAAGTGACTAGAATATAGTGGTAGAACAATGTGTCACTTGAAGAGGAGACTTTGGGACTGAATATAATGTGACTAGAGAAGAATGGTTTATGATCAGGAGAGAAAGATGTGTGTACCTTCTATTTCTTCTTTCTTATCTCCACACTGGGTGAAGTAGAATGCGTCTGCCTTTATCATTAAGACTGGGAGTACTACTCAGTAGCAGGCCGACTTAGCTCCAAAAGAAATGGCCACATCTAACATGAGGAACAGATGCCATGTGCAGCCGCTCCTAACATGGAGTACAAACGCTGCTCATCCTGTATCCCTGGATTAGGAGCCCTTACAGGGTACTATCAGCCGGGCCAGCTGAACCCAGGTTTTTTAGTGAGCTTGTTACTGCTCCCCCTCCTCCTTTTTCATCCGGACTTGGGACCGGCAAAGGCGGAGTTGAATATAATGTGAATAGAGAAGAATGTTTTATGATCAGGAGAGAAAGATGTGTACCTAAAGAAGTGTAATGTGTGACCGGAAGTGGATGTCATTTGACTAGAGAAAGATCATCTGTGTCTAGACGTGGATGATATTTGACTAGAAATGGATGTGTGACTAGAAGTGGATGGTGACATAAGGTAACAAAAATCTTTTGTCCTCGTCAGGAGCAAACAAAATTTAAAACATTTGGCAAGGCGTTAAAAATTATTAACTTGCCAAATGTTTTAAATTTTGTTTGCTCCTGATGAGGACAAAAGATTTTTGTCGAAACGTCGAGACAATAAAAAGATTTACTGGCCGAAGTATCTTTATTTTCAAGAACTATGAATGCCGGCCAGGCAGCCTCTATCTTTACAATAAGGTAACAAGTCCAAATCCCAATTAATGAAATGACTGTGATGTTTCAGTAACAACACTGTTACAGAAAACATACCAAACATTTTGTTAATTTGGTCTTGTTACATCTTGTTTCTAATTTATAATCCAAATTGTACCATATCATACCTGGTGACTTCTTCTTCTCTTCTTCTTTCTTATCTCCACTCAATCATATTAGAGTATCAAGCTTGTAGAGCTTGAGACTTGACAACCATCATGACTGGGTGAAGTAGAATGCGTCTGCCTTTGTCATCAAGACTGGGAGCACTACTCAGTGGCAGGCCGACTTAGCTCCAAAAGAAATGGCCGCCTCTGACATGAGGAACAGATGCCATGTGCAGCCGCTCCTAACATGGAGTACATACGCGGCTCATCCTGTATCCCTGGATCAGGAGCCCTTACAGGGTACTATCAGCCAGGCCAGCTGAGCCCAGGTTTTTTAGTGAGCTTGTTACTGTTCCCCCTCCTCCTTTTTTATCCGGGCTTGGGACCGGCAAAGGCCGAGTTCCTGGTGACTTGAAGAGAGGAAGTGTCACTAGGAAAAGATGCCATGTGACTAGAAGAGAGGGATGTGTGTGGCAGTGCGGGTGCTCTCTGCGCTAGGCCTAATGATCCAGTCCAAGAGCGAGGCTTACAACGATGCTTACCTCAGAGCCATCTTCCGTCTCAACAACCTCCACTACATCCTCAAGTCCCTCCAGAGGTAGGAACTGTGCTGTGACCCATCCAATCTCCACACAATGACCTCCACATTATCCATTAACAAGAAAACACCTATCTCTCTTTTATCTTCCCTGGCCTGGGGAATCTAACCTTTTTTTGAACAACCTTGGTTGCGTGCAGCACAGTATCCATTAATAAAAAGGCATCTTGAAACATAAGATAATAAGACTAAATCCAAATAGATAAATAGTGTATACACACTATTCAATTATCTATATTTGATCTTAATAAAAGAAAACAAGACCTAATCCAAAAAATTTATTAGTGTGTGACGTTTCGGCAACAACATTGTCACCATCATCAGACAATTTTATTATACAGATTTTTATTCTTTTGTCTGATGATGGTGACAATGTTGTTGCCGAAACGTCACACACTAATAAATTA